GAAGCTATGACATACGTCAGAAACTATGGAAGGCCCGACCTGTTTGTGACGTTCACTTGCAATCCTAAGTGGCCACAGATCCAAGCAGAGGTGATGCCTGGGCAAACACATTACGACCGCCACGATTTGTCGCAAAAAAGGCAAATGCTCATAAAGCTCATGCAACCCATTACCAAGAGTCAAGTATTTGGACCAATTCGATGCTGGGTGTACTCCATCGAATGGCAAAAGAGGGGGTTGCGGCACGCCCACATCTTGATATGGCTGAAGGATAAAATTAGGCCAAATCAGATAGACAGCCTCATCATTGCAGAGCTACCCGATCACCAACAATATCCCTGTTTGTTTGACATTATCGCAAGGACCGTGAATTATAGTTTTCACGATTATGTCAACCGCAGCTCTTCCTGCATGAAGGACGGAAAGTGCACCAAAAATACCCGAGAATTCTTCTTGATGAAACTCAAACCGGAGAAGACGGGTATCCCCTCTAAAGAATGAGAAGAGCAGAAGGTGGGGGTGTCAAAACCAAAATCAACGTGAAAATCGCAACTCCTACCGAGATGTTGAAATCGACCACAAATGGGTTCTGCCATACTGTTCACTACTCTCTCAGATCTTTCAGGCCCACATCAATCTTGAGTATTGTAACTCGGTTAAGTCCATCAAGTTCATCTGCAAATACAAAAACAAGGGCAGTGACCAGACAGTGTTTGACTTGAAAAAGATGGAGCAGCAGTCGATGAAATTGAGCGCTACCAGATGGGTAGATACATCAGCAGCTATGAGGCAGTCTGGCGAATCCTGGATTTTCCAATTCACGAGAGGCACCCCAGGGTTGTGCATTTGAGTGTGCACTTGGAAAATGGATAGCGCATCTATTTCACGAAAGACAACCTACATCAGAGAGTTCAGGGGCCGCCGAAGACTACATTGACTGCCTTTTTCCTTCTCTGCCAGCAAGACGATTTCGCCAAAACGCTGCTGTATTGTGATGTACCCAAGCACCACACTGGGGATGCATCAAGAAAAGTTTATAAGCGTCGAGTTCAGGGAGCCGCTGTACCTGGGTATGATGGCATAAGAGCAACAGATGCTTTTGGCCGCGTATCTCCTTGCATATCTCACAACTTTCTGAGTGACGTTTCCACATGTACGAGGATAAGTCAGAAAGTAAGGTTCCCATTCTTTCCCCGTCAAACTAACAAACATCTGGTGCTGTGGCACCCCCGCGTGTTAGTACCAAATAGTGTCACTAAGTGGCAGCAGCCACCTGATGCAAACCCGCACTGGTAGGCGCAGAGTCGGAGCAAACATGGCGAAGGTACTGCACGTGTATACGAAGCTGGAGATCCGAGCAGTAATTCGGTTTCTGTGGGCACAGAAGACCCAACCGGTGGAAATCCACCGACAGCTTATGTCTGTGTACGGGACGGATGTCCTGTCAGGACAACATGTGGGGAAATGGTCGCGTGACTGTAGTGGATGAGGAGAGAAGTGGACGCCCATTGACATCATCCGATGTTGTCGATCAAATCGATGCAGCAGTTCGAGCAGACAGAAGATTGTCTCTTCAGAACTTGGAGCAGTCTTTCAGACTTTCATATGGCTGTGTTTGGCACATTGTGCACGACCGTCTAGGCTATCGGAAAGTCTGCAACATATGGGTGCCGGAGCAATTGTTCGACGGCGACAACCAGGAATGCGTGACAGCGTCGCTCGAAAACCTTTAGCGATACGCAGAAGAAGGCGACGACTTTTTGTGTCGCATCATCACCGGTGATGAGACATGGGTGCACCACTATACTCCAGAGACAAAGATGGAATGAATGACATGGAAGCACCCCGGTTCCCCTGCCAGAAAGAAGTTCAAGACAATGCCGAGTGCTGGAAAGATGATGGCAACCATCTTTTGGGACGTTCACGGGATCATTCTCATCGGTTTCACTCCACTTTGCGAGACTGTGAATGCCGCATCGTATCAATGACATTGACACAACTGAAACAAGCGGTTCGACAGAAGCGGCCTAGACTGCTGTCACAGGGGGTGCTTCTATTGCACGATAATGCCCGCCATCACATTGCTCGCTCCACGATGGACCTTCTCAGCACCTGGCGATGGGAAACTGTTCACCACCCACCAGACGGTCCAGACCTGGCGCCTTTGGATTTTCACTTGTTTTGGGAAGCTGAAGAAGCATCTCCGAAGACGACGCTTTCCATCGGATGACGCCGTCAAAGAGGAAGTCACTCAGTGGCTTTAGGAGCAAGACGAGTCCTTCTATCGGGAAGGCTTCGATAACCTGATCGACCGTTACTACAAATGTCTCAACAAGTCTGGTGACTACATGGAAAAATAATAAAAGTATGTGGGGACATTTCCAGTATATTTTCTTCGGTGTAATTACCTACCCTCCGAAAAAATTAAATACGGAACCTTACTTTCTGACTTACCCTCGTTGTTTCCGTTTTGTGAGCTTGCAAATTAGCACTTCATGAATAGCATTATTCAATGACTCGCATCAACCCAACGAATCACAGATGAGGAAAATCTCGAAGTGCTGGGAAAAGGAGAAACACCGCATGCACGAGCTGTATTTGAATCCCATACATTGGTCTTCATTTCACTCGTATTCTAGGACATGGGGTCATCACCATATAAAACTTTATATTATAAACTCATTCTGGGGTGAAAGAGAAACAGAAAAGGAAAGAAAGGTACATCTTATCAGATTCAAAGTACCTGGTGTAGGAGGTACTTTTTTATAATAATGGTGAAATCGCTGAGAACATTAATACACATGTCCGACATGACTAGGTAAAAGAGCCGCGCGGGAAAGTCATGGGGAGCGTCAAGAGAGTAGTCGGATGGAGTCACGTAAACGGACAGTCTGTGGAAGACGGTGGTTGTCCCACCTCAAAGGGGGGACAACAACCACAATAATCCTTTGGGAGTAACAGGCCAGACTTTCAAGTAACAGTGTTCTGTTTTGCCCCAATCTCAATGGCGCAGGCATTATCTTCCCGATATATTGCATAGGAAGCCGATCAAACAGCCTCTATGACTGTCCGCTCCATCTTTTGAGATCCCCATCTATATTGATCTCTCCCAATACTCAGTCCTCAGTAACTGTCAGTAATTTACATATTAATTCATTGTATTATTAACAAGGAATCAACGGAGTCATTATAAACCTCGGACACGCCGGCGAAATGTTCATGATAATCATTTACGTTAAATCACGTCAGAACCGCCTACACTTGAACATCGTGCCAGGAACGTCCCCCCTTAAAACCTCTTTCTCATATGCATGCATGTGAAAGTCCCACATTGAATCGATATCAATTCCATCCACAAGTCTTTTTTGTGGAAAGTCTTGGATGTCAATAGACTTGCGTGTGCATGTATGCTTTTATACCCAGGGATAGACATGAAGGACGGAAGGCACACAACTTGTGAAATGTATCATATTTTACATGCCTTAGCCTATTGTAAGTAAAGACTGTCTCGTGGGCTTACAGTAGATCATAGCGACCTAAATGCGAACCCTCTATGTGTACTTAATACTGGCATCCCCTGTATATTAACCCTTTCAGTGCCAAACCGTTAGGAGTAGTATATGCGAGAATTGTCAAAAGAACATATGCTGTTTTGCATTCCACAAGCACATCTACCAATTTTAACATTCTAACCTCAAAATATTACTACCTATAGGAAAAAGTATGAAGCTCCATGCTGTACTATATTTTCACAGAAGGTAATAACGGTTGTCATAGCTACCATCTGCGCATATACATCCAGTCACTCGTCGACTGGCAGGAACTTCAGTTTTCTACAGTAATGGATTGGATTCAGTGCATAGGCTGTACTCTTACACCGTGCACTATACCACTTTGCAACTAGGCGCACACACTAGAGGAATTTAGAAAAAGTGGAGGATTAATGAATTTCAAAATTTGCGGTGCACATTTGCGAAACACAACTAATTTCAAAGGAATGAATATGCTTTCCATGTACCTCAGAGGACGTCGAGAAGGTTCCTATTTTCAACACTATGGAAATCCCAAGAGCCGGACAAGATAGCCATGGTCACAATTCCATTATTAGCTTTTCCTTTGTAGGTATGGCACAAGGTTTCGATATCTCATCTTGATTCCAGGTTGCAAACAACAGAATAGATCCTTGCAATTCTCTTCAGCATGCATATGCGTTGAGTGCCTTGGCTACTTGCTTTGTACTCCTTTGCTTTGTACTCCTTTGAGTGCGCTGCACTTGATGCAGGCCAAGAGGTCATTCACTTCCTAGCCAGATTCTATGAATCCCATTCGTTTCCATGTTCCTCTTTTTTCGCTCATTTGTCGAGCAGCTGCATGAAAGCTTGCCCACTTCTGAGTTTTCTTTCAGCCTGGTTCTTGGACACTGACACTTTCTGCATTTCTTAGTCATGTTGATACCTTTCGTCCCCATCATGTTTATCACCATAACTGTGAAATTGCATGGTAGTGCACACCGCAGGCGTTCCAATAGCTCTAGGCACAGATAGATCCGATACAACACTGCAGTGGATATGGAAAGAAAAGACAGGAGGGGTAGGAGACATGAGCAGGAAGTCCGTCTTTTGGTGGCAGACTGCTATCTTCCCTCTCCATTTAGCCTATATTAAATATTTTCTCTGAAAGCGGAATGACATTTCTGGATCCCATAGTCAGATGTGCTCTTTTCCCAGTGCGTGATTGGCCAGCTAGCAATCTTTCCTTGACTCCTCTTTCGGGTCATTGCATATTTTCCATGCAGATTTATTGTATTTATTCAGATCGTTTTGGTTTTCCATGATTTTTTATATTGAGTAAACCCAACTGCAACTGATTTGCAGGAACTGTTCTACAACGAAAACCGATCCGATCTGACTTGACTTATATATTTCTTGTCCAAAACCCATCGAAATTCATATTGAGTGTCAGATCCGATCCGAACGGCGGATTATCCGAATCAGGACTCATCACTGATCCCCAGGTTTTGAAAAGAGACCCTTATTGTGAAAATCTAGCTGAGGGGTCAAACTTGAAGGTCTTTTCTTCCCTTCATTTATTAAATCCTCCATGCCACAGAGTTGTGTGAGCAAATGCTGTGCTGAATTTAAAATATGAATACTTCCAAAGATATCTCATGATTTTTCTCATTTGGTAGTAAGATAGACATGGAAGGGAAGAGTGGCAGTTAATTACTTTTTGGTTAATTTGTGTCCCTTGTTATTATATACCTAGAGCCATTGATCTCAATTAGTTCGAGAATAATAATGAATATGAAACGAATGTAATGCTGATTTCTTTCATTCAATCCGAATAATAACATTTCCATTTCCAGTAAAAATATTTCCTTTTCACTTCGCATCATGATTCATTCAACTTCTGTAGCCTTCTTCAATATAACATATATATGTACGGTATACCCACTCGGGCATACTATACCTTTATATCCCCCAAATACCCATTTGGAGTTTTCAATATACCCCAATGGGGTATAACCCCATTGGGGAGAAAGTTCATGAATGGAATTCAAATATGCTGGTGATTCTGACATCAAAAAGATACAATAATTGCTCGTTTCTCTTTCATTGTCGTTATAGAATAAGTCCTTTGTCCAGTCAGCATCCAAATCTGCATCCAGGAAGATTGCATGACTAATTTCTTTCACAATTCTTCTCTCCACCATCTCCACTTCCCCATCTGCTACACGTGTGTGTGAATATGTGTGGATGACAACCAACTTGTTGGGCTTGTGCTTGTTTTTCTCTAGGAAGGCGCTCAGTTCGGACAGTGAGAAGATCTTAGTCCGGCATATGGGTACCTGGTAAGAGAGAGAATCATGAGAAATCTCAATGAAAGTTCCCTATCCACTATCTCAACCCATCATCAGTTTTGGATGTGTCCACTTGGATCTAAGCGCCCTTTCACCCAAGGGATACTTGATCGAGAGGTGGCCCTTTTCCCAATGGTATCCAAGTGGACCCAGCCCTAACCTTACCTACCTACCTTTCTCTTTTCGCCCTCTCCCACTTCCTCTCCTTCCTCTCCTCCCCTACCCTATCCATCTAGCCCTCATCTCATCTAGCCGACAATCCTTTCCTCCTGCCTATCTCCTTCTAAAGCTATGGTCTCGAACCTCGATCCTGTCTCATTGAAGCTGAGCTCCTCCTCAACTTCACCACTAAATTCCCGCCCAAATAGTCTGCTCATATCCTTCCAATATGAATAATTCTCTCCCTGGCTCCTCCCCCCTTAGACCCCTGCAATTGTAGGTAGAGAGAATTCAGTACTGGTAGGAACATTTTTTTTCCATTTACCGACAGGACAACACATTGTGCGGAACAGTTGTAATTCAAATACTTACCATTACAGAATCAATCCCTGGAACATTTGCAGTGTTAGAGGGAGGTTCTGCTCTCTCATCGCCCCCTCTCTCCATTCCTGGCGAATGGGTAGGTCCATTAATATTTTTTTCCTCACACAGCTAGAGCCATGACAGCGGGGCAAAATGGTGCAAAAATGGTTTACATTTTTATTTACTTCCATTTGGTACTTGGGGAATTCAGGTTTTTGTATATACAGTATATCTTTCCACACTGTTCAATGGGGAGGAGTCGAAAGATACCAATTTTAACGTAAGGTATTTGAGGTCTTAAAGTAATTGCATTATTCTCTATGAAGAATACTAAAGAAGGGAGCTGCCATGTTGAACGGAGGTCGATAACGCCGCTTTCCTTGAATATTAAGCGCGATTGCAATCTCCTTATACCTGCATAGGAATTACAACCCTTGTGACTAGTTACTAGGACTAGTGTCCCATCAGCTATTTTGGGCTTCCATTATGAACCCAACCTAACTAACATCAGAGAAAGGGCAAAGACAGACCAAGTGGGCCACATTCCTTCTATATTAAGCCGAAAAAGTGAGAAATTCAACTTATCTTGGAGAATGCTGGGTCAGTTTGGTTAGAAAATAATCGAGGCCCAAGGCTGCAACCTTTCATAACCCAACTGACCCATGATTCCCAAAAAGAGGATGAATTTCTCCCTTGTTTTCCCTTTTGATACCGAACTGGGGTCGGGGAAATAACAGACGGGTCTGAACAATTTAGCCATATAAGATAACCTAACCTCACCTAGCTTTTCTATAAAGTTGAAGGCTAAATAAGAGAAAAAATATGGACTACAGTGAAAAACTTTTACTAATACTGTTCCAAGGAAAGTGGGCGTTATCGACCTCCATTCATCATAACAGCTGCCTGCTCTAAAATTCTCTATAGAGAAAATTTTAAATAATTGATGATCTCCCATTTCCTAATATGATGTCATCCTTCGATGAATTTAGCATCTTTCGACTCCTCCCTTGGTATAGTATGGAATTAAACACGTAGCATACCTGGATCCCACAGGCACAAAAATAAAGTTGAGCCTTGGGAATGAATGCATGCAACTCTAGTAATCCCTACGACTCCACATATGTACACAAATTACTAACAAGGAACACTACCCAAGTTATATATTCCGATTGTGACCAAATTTGGTCATTGAAAGGATTCTCAAAATGAAGTCACATCGCACCAAAACTTGCAGTAATGAAACAAGTTTAAGCTCATAGGTGGCTCGCTCAATTTCCGCGCGGAGTCAAGCCCCACTCACATATCTTCTTATAAGGAAAGGTGGGGCAAAATGGTGCTAGGGGCCAAACGCAACAACTCGGATTTTAACCAAATCATACCCGATACCTATCGAATATTTACTGCTTCATAACCCCCACTGCATGCGCAAGTTTTCAGGCACGGCAGCGCTCTATAAAGTAGTTTGTCAAGAACCTAGGGGCAAAGTAAACAAACGTTGACTTTTCATATTTTATTTCGAGTTTTTAATGAGCAAAATAAGGTAACTGGAGGCGTCCGATATTATTTTTTGGCTCAAGGCGAACATGTGGACAAATAAATTAAGTCAAAATATGTTAATATAGCTCGCTCATTTTTTTTTAAAATGGCAGAGTTAATCATAGACACCGCCAGTGGGGCAAGACGGAGTCGCGCTGAAGGGGCAAAATGGGGCGGTATGGTAGCTCTATATGGTTTTTCTCCTCTGCTAAAATATGCATTACAACAGTGAGACTAAGGCAGAAGCCAATTAGTTACTGCTTAGATTCTTTCTCTCGCTCAAAACCCGATGAAGGGTGGGTGACCTGCTCTGTTTTCCGGAAATGGGGTCATGCTGGCTGTACGGACATCGCTGACGACACGGACAAGGACGTGTTTGTAAATTCTTCTAATATGCATCGATGATGAAGACAATTTGAACTGTAAGAAGTCATTTGCCATGAACGTTTCATTGCTTCATCCTTTCTGTGGCCTTAATAAGTAGGCATATAATGAAGATATGGGGAAACGGGACAATAAAAAACCAGTTCATTAGTAGATGTTTCCTAACTGTTTCTGTTCTGTGAACTTTGCTTGTGGGAGTGAAATTAAGACCTAGGGAAACGAGAGAAGACCCCTTCTTGTTATTTGTGGATGTTTCATTGCAGTATCTGTTCTGTGAACTTGGTAAATAGACACATGGGGAAGATACGAAAAAACGTGTGGAAAATCGTGAGATTGTTATTTTTATATATTTTATTTGATGTTTCTGTTTTGTGACCTTTGTAAGTAGGTATATATTGTATATAACAACTTTGAAAAAAAAAACCTTTATAAGCGTACTTCGTCTTGCCCTGTAGAGGCACCTCATTTTGCCTTGTAGGGGGAGGGAGCAACATGGGGTATTTGACACTAATTGTTAAAATTGTCATGGAAAAAAAAACAATCCCTGAATTTACGATGAATTGGAATTCTTGTCGTAGGTAAGACATGATAGGTCCCGCATACTTATCCGAAACGTGCTACGCCAACTCCTTGGAACTAAATGATGGCAATTTTTCTTTACTGCCCGTTTTACCATCCCCATCCCCATCTCTCATTGTCGTCAAGTTCCTTCCCATTTCTCCAGCGATCCATGTTCTTTAGATCTGATAACAGGCGATAATCATCAAAATGGTGCGAATAAGACCGCAAAATATGCTGAAGATGCTCAATGGAGCTAATGGAGCAAGTAGAGATCCAGAGAGTGCCTCTCAAGCAAAATCAATTTCCATGAGATCGAGCTGTTGGATCACCTTCAAGTTAGGTTTTTCTCTACTCACCCTCTTCTCTGTTTATGTCTTCTATGCTTTATTTAATCGGCGCCGAATGCTGGCTAATTTCGACCTCTTTCCTCTTCAAATGGTTCTTAAGATCACGGCTCGGTGAGAACATTTCTTGATCGGCTAGCGAAATAATATATTCATCCTGCTTAGGCGTCATAGCACGAGGACGGTCAGAACGAGGCAAATTGCTCAGATATTTCGATTCCCTCAATTGATTGAACTAGTACTTGTCGGTGCTCTTCTCCGATTTTACCGCTGCAGCGTTACTATTTCAGCGCGGACGTGGAACGTTAGTCCTATCTGGAGTTCCTCGAATCATCTCAAATAGGTCTGAGGATGGAATGCCTCCAGAAGGCACGATAACCATGATGTGCGCCATCCTGTTAATTCAAGGATGCCCGAATAAGATATCTCCTTATCGCACCATATCAATCACTGCTAACCACCACCAAATTCTCAGCTCAACTCAAGAATTCAGCACAAAAATATAGCATACATTAAAAAAACAGGACATCCAGACGCCAATACGATGGTTGAAGTAATCTTGAATCGGGCATAATTTCGGCACGATATCTGGCAACACTAGGGTGCAGTACAGGAGAAAGCACTCTTAGCCTAATTGAACGATAGCTAATTTCATTGTTTTATAGCCAAACGACCTATCGCAAGGAATAAAAAATCATTTTTCGCCATCTACGAATCTATCTTTAATTATGGTATGTTTCTTCCCTCTGAAAACCCCCCAGGAGTACCTATTCAAGGGGGGAAAGGAATGAAAGTGTCATATTCCAAAAGCAAGATTCAGTGTTCTACACAATCCCAGTAATTGAAGCTTCAAATTTGCTGGAGCGTTTCTTTTTGTAGAGGGTAAGAAGCATGCCCAATATCGTTCTTTAATATTCTCCCAGAGAGGAATAAAAGAAAGTTAATTTTTGTGACGAGAAGGGGTTGAAGAAAGGGATTAGGCGCTGGCACCTATTGATATAAACCAGCAATACTTACGATTTCGAAGAGCCGCTGCGAAAGCTGGATCCTCACCCTCCATGGACTGCAGCAATGTCTCTACATGACTCTTGTATTTATATTTGATGAGACAATGCAATAATGCTAAAAAGGCGTCATCCTCTCCCTCGGATATCGCCGTCAGAAGGAAGTTGGCTTGCTTTTTCTTCTTTTCTGTGAGGTGTTGGGAATGCTCTTCATAAGCATCTTTCTGAATGATTTCTTTAATCTTCAAGCACAATAATATGTTGTCCAGGTCAGTATATTGTTGGAATAAACTCTTGTGTTTAGACATCACAATATCGATTGCACGACGATTCACAGCCATGATGTATGGGCAGGGTTACTCTTCTCCCTTCACCCTACACTCCTGTAAATTGAAATGAGATTTTTATGATTCTCTTTTCAATATTCTCCGATAAATCAATCATATACTTTTCGTACGGCGTACAGGTGAACTACAAACTCTACAATTTAGTCTGGTGGCCAGTGAACGGTTGCCATTGTACTGATGGGGGTGAGGCGCGCGCCAAAAATAGGCACCAATTAGGAAATTCCCTTGCGGGCGCAGTTCGAGCTGCCAGCGACATCTATAACGGGATATAAATAAGCTCCCAGTCTTTCCCTTCATTTCGATGCAAATATCACTGCGTTTCACCTATTACTTACCGAGTTATTAATTTTTGAATCTGTTGCATTCTTTTATGGACACCCTGTATTTCCTGTTGATGAATGTTTCCTTTCAAAACACAACTTAGAAGACCAACCAGGCAGAAATCAGTATTTCGGACAGCTAACACTTTCTTCAAAATTCAAGGATAAAGAGGTTACTACAATCCATATTTGAAAGAGTTAATGCAAATCATAGCCTTCGGGTGGGGAATAACTGCACAACTACTTAGTGTGAAGCATGATAGGGCATGTCAGTGTAATAATTCGAATTATTTGACCTCACAATTGGTTTTGAGATATGACGTTCTCACACAAGATTGAGATCAAGAAAAAGGAACTATTTCCATTAAGAAAAAAAATGCTTGCAGCCAAGACAATACCGTTGTACCCAAAGGCGCTTAAATATACCATTCCAAAGAAAACCTGAGTAGTGGAGGCAAAGAAAGAAGGTGGTCGCCCGAACAGATCCAAGGCAGTCTGGCTCAACTGGCATGATCCTGTCTCATTCCCCTTCTTGCTAGGACACGAATTAAATCATGGAAGGGCCATGTGTCTTCTGCCTCGAATGGGGCTGATGAGGAGGGCCATGTGTTGCGCTGTCTCGAATGTGGCACAGGATTCCTGGCGATTCATTACTTCCCCGCTGGAGAAACCCCACGGCTCACGTTTTTCTTGGAATGGCATATTAGTACGCCATGAAGAGTCCATGGAAAACTAAAGTATCAAATGGAATGTCACTAAAAACCATTCTCTCATCTTATTTGATTCAGTACACAGGGTAATTCGGGGGAATAGGGTCATGTTAAATGCGTTTGGCATTGGGATGGCAGAAGTTCCATGAATTGAGCAAAAATGCCACTATTGCACAATGAATTCCTTCTCAAACAAGCGCAGGTGGGATAAAGACATCCCCGTCCCAAGGATGCAAACAAATGCAGAAAAAAAGTGAATGCCTTGATTTTAAATTATAAAGGGTTCTCAACGTTCACGTGTTCTGTGGGATGAAATCGATCGTCTACCTCCAATCGGGAGGAAGGGATGAAGTGGAGAAAAGAACAGGTTCGGGGGGGAATTGCGCAGACACCATTAAATTATTCTTATCCATCTTCTACCTTAGTTATTGCACTTTTAATTTAGCTAGTAGAATCAG